GTAGTTGCACATTGCCAAAGGAAGGCAAAAGTTAAACAAAAAGCTTACTTTTTTCCTGACTCTTAAACATTATTACTATTATTTTTGTAATAGCCTTTTTGTTTTAGGGCTTATTTTTAAGTTACTGATACCCACCACTTTCTTTCATCCTGCCTTATATGACATCAGACACATCGTTGACTTTAGCCAATTATGTATTTTCATATAATTTTATTAATTTCGCAGTTATGTATTGAGGTATATTCTAGTATATAACTCTAATATTTTAAGCCCTAAACAAATGTAATGTAAAGATAATAATTGTATGGTTACTACCAGCAGTGATGATTAATACTTACTTTCTTGAAAAACTTTGGTATATCCACTTTTCACTGAGCCTTCATGCTGCACTTAGCTGGCTCTGTGTGTAAACGTGCTAGCACGCTGCTATTAAGGTTGCAGGAAAAACGTGGACTGGATTTCATGTGGTGTGGGAGTACTCTATATGAACAAGTGGAATGGATTGGATAACGACGCACCAAAGGGGATCTCTACCTTACACTATAAATTAAAGGGAAACTGACAGACTTATGATCATATATTGTAGTTAATAATGAAATATTAAATGGTTATTTATTCTGACCACATCATATTGAATTTTTGTAAAATATATATATATATATTTACACCAAAATAGTTTAGGGGGGATTTTAAAACATTTTAGGGGGGCTCCAGCCCCCCTAAAATAGGCCTAGTGATGCCACTGGTGGTTGCAATTCATTTGGTAGTGATAAACCCATAAGACTCCTCTCCTCTTTGCCTCATTATGCTCCATCAGAAATTCATTATCTCTTCAAAAACCTTTGTGACAGTGTGAGGAGRCAGAACTGATAACAAGCAACGGAGAGAAGAATAGAAGAGGTTACAAACAGCAAACAGTCTTGGCGTTGATGATAATTATACAGCAGCAGTTGCTGTTTTTGGAGGCTGCTAGAATATAAAGCCTGCTCAAAGTGTTATCGCCCTCCAGCCATTGATTCAACACATTGTCTCCAATTCAAACATTAGCATTGTCTTTTGAGGTTCTTAACTTTCGGTCTGACTCACTTTTATTATTGGAATCATTACAAAGTCATGGTGGAGATTTTTTAAGGGAAAACCTAATGAATCTGCATAACTGGTGTCAGCGATGCCATGCATAGAGTTACCAGCTCTGTTCATGCCATGCTCCCTGCATGCTGGCTTTCTGTTTGTTTTTGTTTTTTTTGTTTTGTTTTGTTTTTTACATTTTGCTCTTCCCTAAAATGAATTATGCAAAGTAGCACCTTGGGAGGGGATYGGAATAGCTCATCTCATCAAAGAACCGCTGGAAATCAATGCACCACTGCTGGGTGCGCCTGTTGGAGTGCACGGGCGCATGCATGTACAGCGCATATGTCTCTTTTTCCTGCGTGTGAATATTCATAAGCGTGTGTCTGTACCCACGTCTCTTTGGGAGGGTGTCTGCTTGTGTGTTTGTGAGTCCCGGCTCTATAGCCTACTTTCCGCTCTGCGTTTTTTCTGTTCGCATGCACGCGTCGATCTCCTTCCAGCTCGCCACTAATTGGGAAACTYGCTGGCAGCATCACACAGTCTGAGACAGCTGGGCAATTTGGGTCGTATCTGGACTTCTCTCTCTTTATGGGCATTACTGTACACACACTGTAAAAGCATGGAAGAAAAAGTGGGGGGGAAATTGCATCTACTGCCGTCGTGCCCTGGCTGCATGCACTGCAGACAAAGCACAACCCCACACAGCACAGCCAAAGAGCGGGCTGACACCACACCACAGTGCCATCTAGTGGATAAATGCCTCGTCGCGAAAGGCAACTCCCTGAATGCTCCATACCTTCACACAAACCCCCCGTGAGCACGCATGAAACCACCGGCGAGCCTGCACTCATCACTCATTCGGCATTATTTCCTCTCGGGTGTTCCATTTTCTAGTTCTGTTAGACTGAAAGAGTGACTGGCTCAATAGTCACGCCGGCTCACCCATTTGCATTCAAATTGACAAGACTCTGTAGCCTGACTGCACATACAGTGGATGTGTGTGCAGAAAAGTAGACAAAGAGGTAAGGAAGGTGACAGGGAATAGACTCTCTCATGCCAGCCTCACAAACTTTCCGATTGTGAAGTGCACGCAAGCATGCAAGCCTGGTTTTGCAATAAACATTAATAAAGTAAAACAAAAAAAAAACTTCACCTTTTTTTTCTTCCTCCCCATTCTTTGTCTCTCCCTTCTCTCTTCAGCATGATGATCTGGATCCTTTCCACGACCTGCTGGAGGATCGCTACGCAGACGTTAACATGCCCAGCCCCAAGCCCAAGTACGCCCAGTGCAAGGAGAGTAAAAAGGACCTGATAACGTAAGAAACCACCTGTCCTCGTCTCACCTGACCCCCAGCTTGCTTTGTCCCACTCATGCTCCGCTTTCCCCTCTGATTTAATCTCTTTCTTCACCCCTCTCTTCGGTTGACCTCCGTGAACCGCCTCTTTCTCCCCACCCTGTGCTGCCGGCTTGCTATACGACTTTTATTTAACAGCTACCCGTACGAAACATTTCAGGCTGTCAGTGTCATTCCACATCAACTCGTAGCTGCTCTCAGACAGTGCAGTAGAAATCACAGACAGTGAAGCTAAACTGGAAACAATGAAAACCAACAATGGAAAAGAAAAAAAATCCCCCCCTTTTCTTTATGTAATTTTTGCCATTTTCTTTTCATTGCCTTTGGGCTTATGAATCTGTCTATTTTTCCGGTGGCAGATGTCCCACACCGGGGTGTGACGGAAGTGGTCACTTGACGAGCAATTTCGCCTCACATCGAAGGTGTGACTTCCTTTTCTCCTGGTGGATTCTGAGTCTATTTTTTTCTTTATTGTTTTCAGCTTACCTCAACGATACTGTCAAACATCTGCAGGCAGGGTGTCTCTCCTCTCTGGTAGCCCTTTGACTATCGGCATGCAGAAGCCCGGAATGGGGGATGAAATTAATTAAAGATTGGATACATGCTGATTTGCAGCTGAACTCCTGGATAAAGTTATTTCTCAGTGGGCCATTCGCAAAACCTTCTAAGCTGATGTTATTCAGTCCTCCAGGTCTTTCTCATAGTCCAGTGCAGACTGTGCATTTCCCATTCAGAGCAGGAAAATTTGAGCAGAATTGCTGAGTGCTGCAGTACGATTTGAGTCTGCCAGGACTGAACAATGTCAAACACGGTTACTTGAGACTTCCTGTGAAAAATTTCTCAATTCCAACAAAGTTTTGAAGTGTAAAAATATCACCTATATGCTCTATAAATCCAGTGCAGATGTATTCATGGGTTTTGTCTCATTACTTGCAGATACTCAAAGGGTTAACCTTGTTTTAATCGACTTTGTGCACCTGCATCATGGCTTTCTTGCATTTCTTGGTTGATATGTCATTTATGCATGTGTTTGGAGTGTTCGTGTTTCGAGTGGTTGCAGTGTCTTTTTAAATTCGTATAGTTGTGTTGGTGTAGCTAATGTCCAGCTGGTGTATTTTTTTTCAGTCTCTCAGGTTGTCCTTTAGCTGACAAAAGCATTCGAAGTATGCTGGCCAACAACGCCCAAGAGCTCAAGTAAGGTTTTGAAATGATCAACTAAAATGCGTTTGATTTGTATTTGCGTGATGCTCGATCTTTTTAAGAATTCCGTGAAGAAAATGTGCTCTTCGTAGTTTTAAACACAAGCTCAAACATGGACTCGCCGAGCTTTATTTTGCTGCATTAAATGAAAACGTTTCAAAGCTCATTTTGTTCTTGTATTTGCTTTTTTAATCATCGACAAATCAATTAAAACAACTGAAACCAACAATGACGATATCCTGTTTCTAATGTCTTGTTGTTTTACTGCTCATATAACTCCAGAGTTGTTCGTAGGGGGGAAAAATCAACACAGTTTTCTTATTCATAACCACCAACACAGTTTATTTTGACTCAGTCCCTCATTCACTGCCCTGCTGCCCCAAATACTGATTAGAGMACAAAATAAATATTAATCAGCAGCTAAAAATATCCCCCCACAGATGGACCATTTTCTTTCTTCTTGGAGAAGTTAAACTAAAAGTACAGATGTGGAATAAGACAGACTAAGAGACTTTTGATTACAGTGTTTTCAAAGAGTATAATTTTAGCTCTAAATATTGCATTAATACTATTAGTACTACTTGAGATTAAGCACCCTCAACAGATGTCTCGGGGCTGATGGGCAAGGCTCCAACACAACCACAGGTGTCATTTTAAGGGAGGCGTTTCTTAAAAAGAGAAAGAAAAGGAAGTATTTTGGGGAGAAAGTCTCAAAAGGTGTTTCATCAGTATTCCATAAACATGAAATGTGTCAAAAATATGTGGCATATTGAGATAATAAAGCATTTCAATAAATTTGGACAATCCTTAAACTAAATTTTATGTTTAAAAAAAAGGACCTGCCCAATATAACGGATTTATCTTTCAGAGAAGATGAAACTAGCATTCCTTGAAGAGACGCCAAAGTTTTCACACAATCTTTTAGCCCTCGAAATCTTTTATTGGAGATGGCTCTCCGCTACTACCACACCACATTTTAGGTCGATATCTGTAAAACTGACAGAGCTGTAGCCACTGTTGCTGAGACCAGTCAGCTCTGGTGGTCTTCTTCAGCAGAGTTTATTCTAAAAGTTAATCAGGTCTAGATGTAAAATGCTCCTTTTTTAACCAAAATGCTCTTTTTTAGCCTCTCCTGTGTTTTTGTAAAGCAGTTTACAATGTTTCTCTCTCACCCATTCACACACAGATTCACACAGTTCTTTCCTTTATACAGTTTATTGCATCATATGTGCACGATGCACTTATTTTCTGGGAGTTTAATTAAAATATGTCTACAGGTTCATGGGATGTTTTGCTAAGAGCGGGACAAAGAACACACAAACGCAGGCAATTACATAATCACCTGCATCCATGAAAGCAGTGCCGGCTCTAGCCATTTTGGTGCCCTAGGCGAGTTAAAACACCAACCCCCTGAACTATGTCCCACCCACCCCGATTGGAACCCCTAAATACTTCGTTATTGGATTTTAAGACAAAGTTAATTGAAAGGGGTGCTGAGCGGAGTAACAAATAATAACTTTTTTTCTGCTGCAGTTTGGCATCCCCTCCAGCAGATGGCGCTCTAGGCAACCGCCTTATCTGCCCATGCCTAGAGCCGGCTCTGCATGCAAGGCACACAATYGTAACGAGTTTGGAATCAATTCTAGTCATGCTTAGCGCTTCCTGTATATTTTGACGTGTAGTTAATGTCAACATCATCACCATCTACTGATGTCAGACATATTCCAGCATCTTTGGTCCTCTCCTTCTCCTTTGAACAGCTTTTTGTTCAAAGGAGAAACAAATTACATCAGTTAAAAAATATCACCAGTGTGTTTGGGACTTAAGTGATTTTAAAAAATTCTTGCTCAGTGAGATAGAACAATAGAATCCTTACTTCTTCCCCTTTTTATGTCRTTAAAGCAAATAAAATGCTCCAGTAGCTCTCGAAAACTGTATACAACTCRAAGTCAAAAGCTAGTCAGAAGAAGCCAGTGTTTCACAAGTTAACAGCTGTCATAACTATCAGTTACATAAGAATTATTTTGCCATTTTGGTTTTCACTTTAGGTTCTGAGCCATTTATTTCTCTCCTGCCCCAGGTGCCCGACACCAGGCTGCGATGGTTCAGGACATATCACCGGCAACTACGCCTCACATAGAAGGTACATCTCTAAATCACAGGACACACGCAGTTTGAACAAATCTCCCTCTCCTTCTGTGTGGTAACRATCTGTAAGCTTCGGCTTTGTAACTCCGCCATCTATCTGCAGTCTTTCGGGGTGTCCTCGGGCCAGGAAAAGTGGGATAAAGATCATCCACAGTAAAGAAAATAAGGAGGACCAGGAGCCCATCAGGTACAGTACAGACACAGATCATCAGTCTTCTGTCCGGCTGTAAAACCCAGAGGCTGAAACCTCCGCCTGCGACCAAACACTCCTCACTGTTCACTTCACGGGACACAAAGACATATTACTTTTCATTTCCTGTTTTGAAACGTGCGATTTCTAATCAGTCCTGCCATGTTTGGAGCAGCCGGCGCGGGTGTTAGACACGCATCTCTGTAAGCAGGAATAAATCAGCTCTGACAAGACAAATGCGCAGAGAGCGGAAAGTTTCAGTTCTCGCATAAAGGAGTAGGAAGAACTTCAGAAGTGGAAGGTTGTGGCAGGTTAAAGGGAGGTGGTTCTGCAGTCTCTGGTGAACGTGCACGTAGATAAAGAGAGAGGGAAGCAAAGAAGGGAAGATAGAGGCAGAGAGAGATTGATTGACTCTGCCTAAATCCCACAATGGGCTTCTGTGGCCTCAGCCCTGCAGCTGCATTGATTTCTCTGGTGGTGCAGAGCGCAAACAACACACTTTGTTCATTCTCAAGCTTGTCGTACAGTTGGATTCTGTGTTTGGTTTATCATGCAAACTCTGTTAGGATGCTGTCATGTTACGATAACATTTTATAAACTTTTCAAATGAGAAAAAAAGCAGCACATCAAAGTCAAAGTTTGGGACTGGGCACCAGGACTGGATTATATTTTTAAAAAAGAAGATCTGCTTCTCTTTTTACCACATCTTCCACCTTTCAGAAATAGATCCTAACATCAGCCTCTGTTTTAGAAATGAAACAAGCTTTCATATAATAGAGCCTGATTGAACCCCAAACACTGAAGAGACTGCGGTAAAYGAAGGAAGTGCGAAAGGAGACGTTCTGAAGGCAGATAATGCACGTTTTGAGTTGAGCATTTAAATTGATATTTTTCGCATTTATTCTTCAATTTACCACTTACTTGCATAGCATAATAAAGCAAATTATGGTGGATAATCAATTAATTTGTGCGTTCAGCTGATACAAGAGTCGTAATTTAAAACTGATTACTGATCCAAAAAATTCAGAGCAACAAACAGTGAACATATGATTTCTGTTCACTTCATTAAAACAACCCAAGTCCCACATTCTGCCCAAAAATATTCTAAAACATCTGTGACCTGAAAGATMGCCGCTAACAATCAATATCCTCAATGTTAACTACAAGTTGTGAGACCGTCACAAGACTTTGCATAAAGCAAAATATAATAGATACGATCAGATAAGATGGGCTGAAACAGATCTTAGTTGATAACTGGTGCTGGAGGAGCACACGTTAGAAGTAAGTTAGAAAGCATTAGTTACAGAGAGTAAATCTCAAAATCTGCAGAAACAAATGGATTTCTTTAGCCGAGTCCTCAGAACAGAAACAGATCTCAAACACAAAGAATGAAACCTCAAAGCATCTGATACCAGTTCTGTGTCTGGTAATAGACAAAAAGCAATAAAGGTGAATGAATACCTGGTAGCTTCTATTTGCCAAAACCGCTGCTTTCACAACGGATGCTAGCCTAAACCATAATCCATTTTGTCAGGTGTGACATCTGGAATAATTTTCTTCCTTGTTGCACATAACTTGCACTGATGTTTATGCTCTGCCACCATTCTAAAACCCTGATAAGTCAGCCACTGAGACAGCTTTTAAAAGACAYGATCCTATCGTTCGTATTTTTACAACGACGCAAAAGAGATCGAGGGAAACTGGAAAATAAAATTTATTCRTGTTGTATTTGGTGTTTTGAGGAGGCAGTGGGTGAGACTAACAGAGACTAACTCCTTGATGAAAAAAGATCATGAAAATAAGACAAAGTTGATAAGTGAATCTCTCTTTTTTTTTTCTTTTTTTAAATTTATTTATTTATTTTTTTTGCTCTGTTCCCCCCACAGGTGTCCTGTTCCGGGTTGTGACGGTCAGGGACATGTGACGGGGAAATATGCATCTCACAGAAGTGCATCGGGATGCCCGATAGCAGCCAAGAGACAAAAAGACGGCTATCTAAATGGCATTCAGTTCACATGGAAGTCTGGAAAGACAGAGGGCATGTCCTGCCCCACCCCAGGCTGTGATGGCTCGGGGCACGTCAGTGGTAGTTTCCTGACACATCGAAGGTGGGCCATGGACATGTGATCGAAATATTACAAYGGTGAAATAAAAATAAATAAATAAATTACATGTCCAGATTGTAAATGCTGTTTGTGCTTCTAACTTGGTCAAATAAACTACATGGTTTATAGTATGCAGGCAATAATGTTCAAAATGTGGCGGTTTTGCCCCAATAGATACAGAATTAGTAAGATGTGCATATCAGCATCTGTATGAAAATCATAAMAAGCTCAAAAATAACCTTTATTTAGGGATGCACAGTATTTTTGGCATGACAACATTATCAATAAATGCTTTGAACWGGGCWATTCAACTGGTGGCCCGCGGACTGCATCTGGTCCKTGGGTGACTTCCGACTGGCCCGGCATAAATTTTTATTTATTTTTTAAATTTGATTTAGCTTAGTATAATCWTAGATTTTAAAGGGGACATATCATGCAAAATCCACTTTTTTAGCTGTTAAATACATTTTGTTGTGTACTTGGAGGCTCTATGAGGGCAGAAAAGTTGAATTTAGTCTCTCCTACTGCTACAAAAATATCTTTATATTCTGCTTGKTTCATTTTTTTCAGTCCGTTCAGTTTTCTTGATTTTCTATAATGTTTTCTGAACKATTAAGTCAAATAATCTGCGATGGAATTACCATAAAAGGTCTGGGCTTACCGACGAAAGTTTCCTCGTCTTAATTTTCCTCTCGGTCAGRCTCTGGCTCCAACATGTAAGGAGCAATGGACAAGTCCTCGGTTCATATCTTTCAATTTAATTGTAAATAAAACCTTTCTGCATCGCTAGAAAATGTAACMCCYTCTCTCARTCCGGAGTGGACCGGTCTGGAAGCAGGAGKAGGGGGCGGGGCTTGAAGCRTYTTAAAGGATCAGTATCAAAAYCCAGCTGCTTTGAGACACACACCAGAAAAGTGATGAAAAAAAGAGGCTGGTAATGTTAAAATAAGGAAGAATTCAAACCAAAGCATTGTAGTTCCACTTCATAAAGACCCCAACTGAATGATTCAAATGTGAGAAGAAAGGATTTAAAAGCATGATATGTCTACTTTAAATCAATTTTAAATGTAGGAGTCAACACAACACATTAAACTAATTCAAAAAAGGTAAAAGACATAATAATTTTTTTTTTACATAATGCAGTGTTTCTCCTACTATTATYGAGCAACTTTCTCTAAAAACCCTTCTACATGAAAAAAAAAGACTTAAAAAAATAGTCTCAGCATGTGTTCACATAGAAACCCATCCGGTATTGAAACGATGCTCCCTTCTTGTTGCCGCCTGCAGTCTATCAGGTTGTCCACGYGCCACCTCCGCCATGAGGAAAGCCAGGCTCTCAGGAGTGGAAATGCTAACAATAAAGCAGCAACGTGCCAGCAATGGTAAGCACAATTACCACTCGCCCACACAATGTAGCCAATCAGAAACATGGATGTGGAATGATTTACCGAGGAGAGTTCCAATTTCAGATAATAAACCAATCAGGACGTTGAGTGTGTGTTTGTGTTTGTGTGTGGTGGGCAGTGTTGTAAATGAACTGCCATTCAGGGGTAATAACGATACAAGTGGCTCCAATCTGGAGGAGCAGTCTGGTGGTTTAAGTTGGCGGCAATCAGATGTGAATATCTCAGCCGCAAATGCCGATTTTGGCCCTTAATAAAAGGGATGAGAAGATCATTGTGATTTTTTTTAATTGTGTAGATTTTGGCTTTTAATAAAAGGGATGAGAAGATTATTGTGTTTTTTTAATCATTGCATTCAAGTCATTTAAAATGACCTACTGTAGAGGGAAAACGCTGAGATTTAGGTCATTTTACATCACTTTATATCAAATTAAGAGCTCTGATTCATGACTGACCTGTTGCACCACATTATGTTAACTCTGCTCGTTGTCTCCAGGGCTGGAGCACGAAGAGGAGATCAAACAGCTGGATGAAGAAATCAAAGATTTAAGTGAATCAAATTCACAAGTGGAGACAGACATGATCAAACTTAGAACACAGGTGAGTCACCGCCTGCCCTCCCCGTTGAGCCAGCTTTTGCTTCGGCGACACAAAACCCCCACAACGCACTGTGACCCACTGTCCCTTCTCCACAGATCACAACAATGGAGTCCAACTTGAAGTCCATAGAGGAGGAAAACAAGGTGATTGAACAGCAAAATGACTCTCTGCTGCATGAGCTGGCCAACCTCAGCCAGTCACTGATTAACAGTTTAGCTAATGTCCAGCTCCCTCATATGGTAAGGGCCACCAGGAACGGCGAGCCAGAAAGGCGCAGAAAATAGTGAACCATAGCATTTATCTGTGTATATTTTACCCACGGCTTTTTTTGTGCATGCTTACTCTAAACTGTGGAGCATCGCTTGTCTTTCCAAACACTGAGGGGGAGTTGTGAAATGAGGGCAGAGTTGTAGCATCTGCGAGAGCTGAAATTCAGCTACTCAGCTTAAACAAAACAATATGTTGAGGTTTTGTTTTGCTGTTATAGAGACGAAAATAAGGGAAGTTGTTCCAGTGGGGATATTTTTTTTTTTAACAAACGCTTTTGCTCTAATTTTGATTCAGGCTGAGGACATTTTTGGCAAAAAAAAATAAAGACTTTCCCATTTGTTTCTGATATTTGTTTCTGTTCTTTCATTCTGTTTTGTTGCTAAATGTTTTTATTGTAATCACAGTTTTGTCTTGTTCTGTCCCTCATAAAACCATTATGTCATAATCCTCTTTTTCATAATAGATTATCCACTGATAAATTAAAGCCAAACCATCATTCTGCATTATCCTTTTTGTGTTTCATCATATGTTCCAGCACAAAGTGTAACAAATTTAAATTTACTCGTGATGCCTCTTAATCATCACTGAGACTTGTACCAATGTCTTCTCTATTTATTTTCTGCCCTTTTTTTTTTGTTTGTTTTTCCATCAGTTTTGAGGTCTGTGATTTGTTTCTATCTATTCAAGACTGCCATCTAGTGTGTGAACATAGAAGCGCCCGTCGTGCGTGAGCTTTCTAAGCTTAAAGAAATCTGTCTTCTTTGGCTATCTGTAGAAACCGCTGGCAGACAAAGAGCTTCCTCTGAGGAATAACAGCTGCTTACAAATGCACCAGCAAGTAAGTCTCTCGCTTAAATAATTAAGTACGCTTTATCCATGCTCTGCATTTCGATCGCGTTCTTCAGTTCTTCTGGGGAATTCGATTTGGACTTAAATATTAAAAGAAAAAAAAAACGTAAATAAAGGCGTATCATACCTGCCACTTATGCCACAGTTTTAAAATCATCTTATAAAGAGAAGTTATTGTTTCCAAAAAGAAAAAAATTGTATAGGTCTTCTGGACGGGTTCTTCTC